ACAGGTAGCGTGCACACCCTGTGCTGTCATGGGTAACCTGAACGCAGGTGATCCCATCCACCTCCTGCATGCCGAAATGAGAGTTTGGACGCCACAGGTATGGCCATGTCACACTAACACAAGTGAGCCACCAAACCCCCCAGACGTCTTTTATGTTTTCCAGCTGGGAAAGATAGCCAAACCTTGAACTGAGAACCCACCAGCAGCTGAAAGGCCACCCATTATGCTCTCTTGCATCAGTACCATTTACCTTCAGTACCCATCACACCCTTGTCCATCTCATACATGCTCAACTCGTCAGTTCACATATTGCCTGCCCACATTTTTAAGTTCTGTTTGAGCTCCCTATGGCAGTACTTACTCCTCCTTAACCTCTGTCCTGCAGATGCCTAAGTGTAATGCCAAGGAGCACTCATACCAGTCTCCCTGGTCATGTCCCAGGCCAAGGAAACGTGATCTCTACAGATGCTTTTCAAAAGCAGCTGGTGTCCACTGTCTGTAAAAGATCTAACTCATCTGTGGGGTAAAATAAGGAAAATTCAGATTAAAACAAGGGTGGCGGTACATAGTTTGGAAAAGGGTGCACTATCCTTTATAGCGCAGCATAGACCCTGAAAGAGAAAGAAGCCCTTCGGAGGATGGCCACCCAACATGCTGCCCTTTAACTCCTTCTCTGGCACGTTCCTTCGCTTGGCTTGATACAGTCCTATGAACAAGGAGGCACAGAGGGAGACGGTCTCACAATGCCTTCCAGGCATTTGCAGACTGGTCCGTGATCCCCATTGGGCAATACTTGCTCTCTGCTCAGAAAGGTGGGATTTTATCCTTGCCCCAGCTCACTACTTCCATGAGTAGCGATGACTATAAACCGGGCAAGTATTTACTGAAATGTTTTTCTCTGGGAAACACAATTCCCATTGTTTCACTCAAAACCACTCTCCTACTCATCGTATCTCCCCCAGAACCTGAGCCCTACAGGCACTGGTTAAATATTCCTTGAATAATCATAGTTACCTGCCTTTAAAAAAACCTAAACCAGAAGTTGCTCTAAGTGCTTATAAGAAGGAAGTGTGATACATCATACCACTGCTGCTCTCTCCTAGGGCGGTAGCCAGGTGGAAGCAGATCCCACCACGATGCTGCATGTGCACATGCGTGGATCTCATGGCATTCCTCTGTGACAGAAGGTACAGCACTGTCCCCCAGCACGCAGCATCTCTGCTCCAAGCCTGCACTGAGAGCTGCTCAGCATGCAAAAAAGTTTGTGCTTGCTTTTTCCTGCTGGTCACTGTGGAACTCTGGGTTTGCACACTTCGTTTCAGATGCTTCTTTGCTAACCCATCTTTGCTGAGGTCTGGAAACTTCTACAGAGGTGTGATTCCAAGCATGCCTACTATCTCAGCATTAACTGGGAGCTATCCGTACCTGCACGCAGCAATTTTATGTACATATCTATTTTACTTACTGGCTTTGTTTAGACCACATCCTTGACCAGACCACGGCTGAGCTACTACTGTCTGTCCTTTTACATCTGGAGCTCTGCCACAGCCTGTGCAGCACAACCTATTTCTGCAAAGGCATACAACAACTCCACAATTCTCAAGAGGAGCTTGCCAGGAAGTTGAAGCCACTACGCTGCGAGATGGGCATGGTCAGGCACCTAAAGACTTGCCTCCTTAAGAAAGAAACAGAGGCTAAAGGTTTTCAGGTATCTGCAGAACTGAACAAAGGTGGCAGATTAACTTTTGTCTTAATGTAACTGAAAAAACACAGTTCACATATAGGGTGTCTTCATTTTAACGAGATTTGTGGAAGACAACTGTTTATCTAAACTTACGTAGGATGAAAATTGTGTATCCTTTTACTATTCTGTTCTTGGGATACGGCTGACTGTCAACCCTGCACTTCTTGCAGTGGTCATACTAGCTGGCATCAACTGTGTTTTAACAGCATAGTGCAAAGGAACTCAAAGTGTTCCACTGAGTTAATTAAAAAGAATTTTTAAATTCTAGTCAATATTTTGGGACTACAAATATTCCTTGAAATCCTTCCCTCAAGACTATATAACAGGCAGTAGGGCAAGGATTTGAAGCAGGGCAATTCAAGTAAACAGAGAAGACAGGGATTTGGTTATTTATTCTATTGATAGAATCAGCTCATTGTAGCTTATACCTTAGCTAGCTAAGCTAACATTTGTTCTCTAAGAATAAACGGGAAGATGTTGCTGGTCCTTTAAATAAGTGTAATTTGCTCCCTTTGGAGCGCTGTGCATCAAGGCAGAGGCTTCTGATAAGTCATGGTTAGTATAATTATTCAGTCTTTTTCCCTAAAGGGCCTCTGCAATGCAGCGGTCCTTTTACTTTTTTTTTTCCCTCCCTGTTAGCAATGCCCTAGTTTGTTCACTGCTGCAGTCCCCCTCCCTTCCACCATCACCACATCATAACAATCTCTAATTGAGAGCTCGCCTGCTAACCAGGAGCTCCCAGACACACTGCAGGAACACCAGAGACAGCACTCACAGCCACCTTCCACAGCTCCTCCAAATTCACCAGCACTGAGGGAACTCTCAAACGAGGGTTTTAAAGCCTATCCACTTTCCCTGCCATACTGCAGAGATCGCTAACAGCTGAACATCTATCACCTCCATCGTGTCAGCATCAGCTGTACTTCACATGCAACCTGCAGCCTCAGTAGCAGATGAAAAGCACCTGCAGACCGTTCCAATACTCAGAAGTCAAGCAAACTCAATTATAACACTGAACACGAGACCATGTGCCCTTCCTCTTTAAGAGCTATTTCCATTTCTGTTTGCAAGTATCCCCCTACAGTCAAGTCACAAACCTCTCTTTACTCCTGTAATAACCGCAGTGATCTGTCTCAGTTGCCCTCATGTCTACAAACATTGGAAGCAGTGTTGCCCTGACTTCCTTGAAATGTCCCTCTTGTACATGGCACGAGAAACACAGCAGCTATAGGCCAGAAAGCGGAGACAAATTAAACATTTGTGTTCTATGAGGTTACAGGGAGGGGGAGAGCCGGGGAAGGATGCGTCAGTGCTGCTAATACTAACGGATAGCCTTGAACAGCTGCAGATACAGGCACCATGCTACTGAAACCATGCCTGATGCTGCTTTGAAGGAAATTCTATTTTCTTATTTCCCCGCCAACTGTTTCCAAAAGCATCAGCTAAGACTCTGTACACATACACACACTGCTCTGCCAGAATCCAGCCAGAAGTGGCTCCTCCTCACCTGCCCCCGGCGCCCACGTTTTACAGAGGAACTGTGGATGCTCTAAGCAGCAGTGCCAGGGTGCTCCGATTTGACCCACATGACTAGTCCCTAGGCTTACAGCTGCTAATGGTACGGAGAATGCTTCTAATGAATGCTTTAATGAAGAAAGCTTTTCCTGTCAGGGCTTCCCAGACAGAACAAGGAAGCCCACCAAAAACCTTTTGAACACCACCTGCCTACACTGACATGTAGCTGGCCTGAATTAAGCTCAAAACCATTCAGTATTTCTCCAGTTGAACAGTTCTAAGCATTCACCATCTCCATCAAAGACATGCAATAACAACACAATAACATGCTTCAAATCTTTGTAGTGATAGCAGTATTTTAAAAGCATTAAACTAGTATCAAAGGTAACACCCACAGGAGATTTCCCAAAGCACTTGTTGTATTACAGTTACCGTGTTTGCAGCTGACAGACAAAACAGGATGAGGTTAATTGACGAAGGAACAAACTACATTGGAATATTAGCTCATTATTTCTCTTGCTTTCAGTATGGCCCTGTGCAAACAACTACTCCTGAGACTGCTTTTGTGTAACGCTTTGTAACATTAGCTTCTCAGCTATGAAATCTCTGGAGACTAAGGATCTGACCTTACCACATTTGTCTCCTGTATTTAGCAGAGAGAATAGACACTTGGCAAATGGGTCACTGAGCAGCAGCGTTGGGACTTTGCTAAGATTGCACAAAATGCCGTGCCGCAGCAGCTGCCTCCGATGAAGAAAGATGAAAGCCGTACTGCTGGTCCTTTCCCAGCATGTCATACAAACCAGCTCTTCCCCTGTATCTCCTTGCTCTGAGTTGGAAGCTGCATCTCTAGCAATCGCACGCAGGAAGGGAAATGAACGTTTTGGGCTCCTAAGTTCCACCGCTATCCTCTTCATCTTGCTCCTTTATAAAATGCATTTTGGGAGCATAGGGCTACCAGGTAAACCTGAACCTAAAACTTGCATGCACAGAGTGGCCATACAAATCCAGAGCCTGTGTTCCCAGCTGTCGGTGCGACATTTAGGTACCAGAGCTCTGTTCTGACCCATCATGGATTCTTCTGCCAACTGCTTGCCTAAGAGCTAATGCTGTTGAAGTGTCCATCTCATCCCTGCAAAACACAAGGGATGCCCTTACAAGTCTAAAAAGGCTGATTGTGGCTGTTATGTGCCACAGCATGCCTGGGTTGCCATTATCACAGACTGCTCTGGCACTGAGACTCTCAAGTGTTTGACAGAATCTGTATCTATCCTGTTTGGTAAATCCTAGGTAATGAGGTGGGGTGTGGACATCGCAGCAGTGGCTGACTCAAGTCCCCTCATTCCTTAAATTGCCTCACCATCTTCCCACTTTCTGCTTATGTAAATACACATTTTTCTAGACAAGCTCAAGTTTCGGAGTTCTCAGGGAAGACAACTGCAGGGTAGATGCTCCTCTCCTGCTAGGGACTGGGTAGTCCCTGTTTTGGGGAAACAATCAGCTTTCAATTCAGACAAAGAAAACAGTTCTTTGTCTCCCTCCCATCAAATGCAGCCACATCTTGTTCACATCAAAAGAACTGTAAATTTCAGCATGAGGTCTTTGATTAATTGTGCAATGGACCTTCCCCACAGCACACACTTGCCCCTCTATATCCCTCCCTCAATGCCAGGAGCTGCTCCTTTCATTCACAGTCCCACCATTTGGTGAGCTTTAGCAAAGAACATCGCATGCTTCTTACCATCCAAGGACAGCCAGTCATGCTGGGAGGAAGGCAGGGTTGGCAGAGCTCTGGCTTTATATTCAAACACCACAGAATTGGAGATGATCTGATTGTTGAAGGCAACTTGCAAAGTCACGAGCCCAGTGTCATGAGCTAAAAGGAAGGAACATGTGGTAAGACACAGACCTCCCTGCAGAAATGCACGGCTAGGTATTATCCTATTGATCTCCCCGTGTGCCAGGCGGCAGGCAGAGAGCAGATGCAATGAGAGGAGAGGGGGCGTTTGATAATATTTTTGTGACTAGATGACTGTAGAGTCCAAAATGCCAATCTGTATTTTCAAACATGAAGGTCGTAAGCTTAAGAGTCATCTAATGGGTTGTTTTGGCAGGAGGCAGAATCACATGTGTTCCTGAAGAACAACCGGCCTCACTGCATTTCCAGTGGGAAGCTGGGGCCTAACGATGAAGCTAAGTTATTCTGCATACACTTGAAATCATATACTGAGGGCCAGCACTACTGAAAATCTCTGCAGGGAGGCTGGAAGTGTTCTCATCCTGTCAGTTCGAAGGACAAAGTGCAGAGCACAGGCAAATTAAGATTCAGCACAGCAGTGAGTGCACCTCTGAATAACAGTCACTCTTTAAGCTGCTATTTCAAAACTAAAGAACTGCTTAGAATTATTTTAAATTATTTCAAATAATGATTGTAAAGCTAATTCAAAGCTTCTAAATAATATTTGTTGTGATCTGTCGTGATGTATCAAGATCCTAAATTGCTGTTCTCACACTAGATAGGTCAAAGGAAAAGGAAAAGCTTCTCGATGTTTATGCACTACCTTTCACAGTGGGTCTGTGAGTTTACTCAAGACATATACATGACGCTGTTAGGGTAAGAACCTGCTCTGAAACCACCAGCTTCAGGAGAGAGGTGTCCCTTACCTGGGCAGTAGCAGCGCAGTACCCCTGGCTGAATTAAAGATGCAGGCACTGAGATCTGATCAAACAGACAGCTGTAATTATTGCTGGCTTCCTGCCATGGACCAGTAATTAGGACTTTTACTCCTCCCTGTGAGGAAAAGAGAGGGGGAAAAAAAAGCATTACAGAAGCAGCCATCACCAGAGAGGACCATGCACTGAAATGGCTGAATGGCAAAGAGCATCATGAGGACTAACAGAAGTGCCAAGCTAAGACAGATCCTTGGCACCAGCCAACACCAATGCCCCAGTCTCCTGCCATGGTGGGAGAAACGCACATAGCTTTCTATAGTAAAGCATCTTTATTCCTCTTCACTTGCTCTGTTCCCTGCTCCTGCCCATACGCTCAACTCCCACGCTTTGCCAGTGTGACCCTCGCTGCAGACCGCCTGCCCTTCTCTTGGTCACTTGCCAGTTCCAAGACCAGTGATGGCAAACCTTATGGATGCTGTGAGCCAGACATCCTTCCCACCAGGAAGCTCCTGGTAACTTCTGGGTGCTCCATCCTCAGCTCGTGCCCACCATCGCTTCCTCGCTGCTGCCTGCGCAGGCTCCAGGCTTGTCTCCTTGGCATTGAAAAGTGCCACAGGTCAACCACAGCAAGCATGCCGCATGTTTGCCATCACTGCCCTGGCCCCGCTGATGTGGATGGAAGACTGTTTATCGGGCACAGGAGGCGATGCATCGCCTCCGAAGTCACAACTGGAAGCACGAGAGGAGTTGGACCATGAATCTGACAGACC